GGCGGGGCTTATATTTTGTCCACTTTTTCTTAATATACGAAGTCTTCCTTTCCCAACAAGAAACTAAAAACTAATTTAACGTTTTTTGCAAATAAAACTATCTGTAACTAAAAAAAGTTCCGATCTCAATTGTCATGAATTTTTTATTCGTTGTCAGACCGAGGGGCGGAGCGTAACTGCAAAATACATATTTCCTTAGAAAAATTTTGAACATGTTTTAAGTTTCCTGTTATGAAAAAAGGCTACGTATATTAAGAAAAAAAAGCCAAAATATAAGAACCACCCACCCACCCAATCTCAGTTGTAATGATTTTTTTATTCGATATCAGGCCGAGCGGCGGAGTTTAACTGCAAAATCCGTATTTCTTTACAAAATTTTACTCTTTTGAGAACATATTTCACATGGTAATTTCTTGGAGAGAAATGCGGGTTTTGCAACTAAGCTTCGCCCTCAGCTCACGATGAATAAAAAAAGTCATTACAATTGAGAGAGGGTGGGTGGGCGGGGCTATATTTTATACATTTTTTCTCAACATACGAAGTTTTCGTTTCCCAACAAGAAACTAAAAACATATTTAATGTTTTAGGTAAATAAAACTATATGTAACTAAAAAAAGTGCCGATCTCAATTGTGATAAATTTTTTATTTGTTGTCAGACCGAGGGGCGGAGCGTAATTGCAAAATACATATTTCCCTACAAAAATTTTGAACATGTTTTAAGTTTCCTGTTATGAAAAAAAGGCTACGTATATTAAGAAAAAAAAGCCAAGATATAAGCCCCACCCACCCACCCAATCTCAGTTGTAATGATTTTTTTTATTCGATGTCAGACACAGCGGCGGAGTTTAACTGCAAAATCCATATTTCTTTACAAAATTTTACTCTTTTAAGAACATATTTCACATGGTAATTTCTTGTAGAAAAATGAGAATTTTGCAACTAAGCTCCGCCCTTGACTAACAATGAATAAAAAAAAACATCACAAATGGGAGAGGGTGGGTGGGCGGGGCTATATTTTAAACATTTTTTCTTAACATACGAAGTCTTCTTTTCCCAACAAGAAACTAAAAACATATTTAACGTTTTTGGTAAATAAAACTATATGTAACTAAAAAAAGTTCCGATCTCAATTGTCATGAATTTTGTATCCGTTGTCAGACCGAGGGGCGGTGCATAATTGCAAAATATGTTATTTCCGTACACAAATTTTGAATATATTTTAAGTTTCTTGTTGTGAAAAGAAAACTACGTTTATTAAGAAGACAGGGAAAAAATAAGCCTCACCCACCCACCCTATCTCAATTGTAATGATTTTTATTATTCATTGTTAGACCGAGGGGCGAGAGTTAACTGCAAAATCCACATTTCTCTACAAAATTTTACCCTTTCAAGAACATATTTCACATGGCAATTTCTTGTAGAGAAATGAGGATTTTGCAACTAAGCTCCGCCCTCGGCTTACGATGCATAAAAAAATCATCACAATTGCGAGGGGGTGGGTGGGCGGGGCTTATATTTTGTACATTTTTTTTAATATACGACATCTTCTTTTGCCAACAAGAAACTAAAAACATATTTAACTTTCGTGTTGTTCAAAGAAAACTCTATGTAACTAAAAAAAAGTCCCGGTCCCAATTATGATGAATTTTCTATTCGTTGTCAGAACAAGGGGTGGAGCTTAATTGCAAAATCCATATTTCTTTACAAAATTTTACTGTCTTAAGAACATATTTCACGTGGTAATTTCTTCTAGAGAAATGAGGATTTTGCAACTAAGCTCCGCCCTGGGCTCGCGATGCGTAAAAAAACATCATCACAATTGAGAAGGGGTGGGTAGGCGGAGCTTCATTTCGTAGATTTTTTAGTATACGAAATCGTTTCCTAATAATAAACTAAAAACATATTTAACTATCGTGTTGTTCAAAAATAATATATGTGATTAAAAAAGGTCCCGATCTCAAATGTGATTACTTTTTTATTCGTTGTTAGACCGAGGGGCGGAGGGTAATCGCAAAATATACATATTTCCCTACAAAAATTTTGAACATATTTTAAGTTTCTTGTTGGGAAAAGAAAACTACGTTTACTAAGAAGACAGGGTAAAAAATAAGCCCCACCCACCCACCCTATCTCAGTTGTAACGATTTTTATTATTCATTGTTAGACCGAGGGGCGAAAGTTAACTGTAAAATCCACATTTCTCTACAAAATTTTACTCGTTTAAGAACATATTTCACATGACAATTTCTTGTAGAGAAATGAGGATTTTGCAACTAACCTCCGCCCTTGGCTTACGATGTATAAAAAAATCATCACAATTGAGAGGGGGTGGGTGGGCGGGGCTTATATTTTGTACATTTTTGTTTTAGTATACGACATCTTCTTTTGCCAACAAGAAAGTAAAAACATTTAACTTTCGTGTTGTTCACAGAAAACTCTATGTAACTAAAAAAAGTCCCAGTCCCAATTATGATGAATTTTTTATTCGTTTGTCAGAACAAGGGGTGGAGCTTAATTGCAAAATCCATATTTCTGTACAAAATTTTACTCTCTTAAGAACATATTTCACATGGTAGTTTCTTCTAGAGAAATGAGGATTTTGCAACTAAGCTCCGCCCTTGGCTCACGATGAGTAAAAAAAAATTATCACACTTGAAGGGGGTGGGTGGGCGAGACCTACATTTCGTACATTTTCTAGTATACGAAATCGTTTCATAACATACACTAACACTAAAAACATATGTAACTATCGTGTCGTTCAAAAATAATATATGTAATTAAAAAAGGTCCCGATCTCAAATGTGATGACTTTTTTATTCGTTGTCAGACCGAGGAGCGGAGCGTAATCGCAAAATATACATATTTCCCTACAAAAATTTTTAGCATTTTTAAGTTTCTTGTTGTGAAAAGAAGACTACGTATATTAAGAAGAAAGGGCAAAATAAAAGCCCCACCCACCCACCCAGTCTCAGTTGTAATGATTTTTGTATTCGTCGTCAGTCCGAGGGGCGGAGTTTAATTTCAAAATCTATATTTCTTTACAAAATTTTACGCTTTTAAGAACATATTACACATGGTAATTTCTTGTAGAAAAATAAGCTCCGCCCTCGGGTCACAATGAATAAAAAAATGATCACATTTGTGAGGGGGTGGGTGGGCGGGGCTATATTTTGTACATTTTTTCTTAATATAAGTCTTCTTTTCCCAACAAGAAAAGAAAATGATATTTAACGTTTTTTGCAAATGAAACTATATCTAACAAAAAAAGTCCAAATCTCAGCTGTGAAGAAATTTTCATTCGTTGTTACACCGAGGGGCGGAGTGTAATTGCAAAATCCATATTTTCTCTTTTAAACAATTTAAGTTTCTTGTTGTGAAAAGAGAACTACGCATATTAAGAAAAAAATGACAAAAAATAAGCCCCGCCCACCCACCCTATCTCATTTGTGATGATTTTGTTTTCATCGTGAGCCAAGGGGGTGGAGCTTAAAATCCTCACTTCTCTACAAAAATTTATCATGTAAAACATGTTTTTAAGTATCGTGTTTTTGAAAAAATACTATGTATAGTAAGTAAAAAATAAAGCCAAAGATTAAGCTCCACCCTTCCGTGTCGAACTTAATCGTAATGAATTTTTCATTCGCTGCCAGACCGGGGGGCGGAGTGTAATTGCAAATCCATATTTCCCTACAAAAATTTACCATTGTAAACATGATATAAGTTCTTGTTATGAAAAGGTAACTACGTATATTAATGTATTTTTCCTTTAACTATTAAAATTTTCAAATATCTCAAACCCGCACCCACCCCGCTCCCCCGCCACAGCCACCCGTATTATTCCTCCAGTTAAATTTTAAAATAATTACTTATTTCCTCTCCGCGACAAATTAAAACTTTTTTGATGAACGCGAGCGGCGAGAATTTGAAACTCCGATATTTCTTCGGTTATTCTTTTTCGTCTCGAGATAACGAACGCCAGCTAATTACTCGTCACCGCGATTCGAACAATAAATCTGCAAATGCAATAATTCAAATCAGGCCGCGGTGTTTATTAGAGAAAAATAAACAGAGTAATGAGAGATAATAAATGATTGGGACCGCCATAAATCAGTGTCGTCGGCACACGTTCCCCGGAAGACATGGGGATCGAGTGTATTGTGTAAGATAATAATCGTCGTCTAGTGCGCACAATTCTCGTAATCCCAACCCTTTCTTAGACGATGGCAAGACCATATTATCCTTATAGCAAATACAGATGATTTAATTGCGTCTCAACCAATCTGCAAATGGTTTAATTCCTCCCGCGATCGTCCCGAGATGCTCGCCGTAATTATATGACGAAGATTTAATATCAGAGATTGCGTTACCTGAAGCGACTTAAAATTCTGCGTTTTTGTTGCACAAAATTTACAAAGCTGGTCGCAGCCCCTCCCTCTTTATTCCCGTTATTTTCTTCCTGTTCAATGAATTTCCATCCCTTGACACATCCATACAAATTGTTTAAAGTAGATAACATAACAGATTCGAAAAGCTTGATTTCATTAGCCTACATTTGTGCGAACAATAGGGTCGCGTTTCCGACGCGGAGTCCAGAGTTCACGGAAGTAGTGGCGGTGGCAAGGCGATAGGAGTCCATCGGGATGTGGTGTGCGCTGATTACAATGCCTGAGACGAGTATTGTGCATGTCGGGACCGCTCTCAGACAATGAGCTTGGAAACAATCACCAGCAGCATCGCCATAGCAATGCACCACCTCACTCCTCGTTATCTGGAATTTCGCCCTCTGGCTTTGCCGGCTCGGTTTTTCTGTCTGACTGGTATTATTTGCGGAGTGAATGGAGAAGCGATGGAGCCGGCTCAATTATGACCCGGCGCATCCACCAAGAATAGGGTAGACGGAAATATAAATACAGCTTCTTTGAATGATTATAAATTTTTTTGCGGACAGACGACAGACAGACAGACGGAAAATAAATATTGAAGTTATTTTTTTTTGCAGATGTCTTCCGTCAACGAGCAACTCGCGCCGCCCCCCAAGCCCCGGTTGTCCCCTCTGGAATTTCGCAACACGGACCTCGTCTCGCGTCTCCTGGCGGCCACCCCCCCGTACCTCTACAACATGTCGCTGCTCCCCAACACCTACTTCTTCAGCGAAATGCTGCGATCCTTCGTCCAGGCAAAGTCCGACCCTTCGAGTCGAAGTTTCCCGACCCGACGAACCCGAAAACGTCCTTGGACGGCGATGAAGAGCGACTCCTCATCGCCGCCAAAGCTAGACCAAACCAACGACTGGGCTCTGAAGAACTCCTACGTCGAGCACAAATCAGAAAGTCCTCTTGAACTAACGACTGAGAGTGACAAGGCCAAAAGTACTTTCAGCAGTACCATGACTGAAAGGAAGGTCGAAATGCCGCTACCCGAGCAAGTGGAGCCGTTGTATTCACCCATGGGACAAGAAGGTAACCCGTCTGGGTTAATTTTACCGCCGCCGCCACCCATGTGGTACCCTCCACTGTACCCCACGACAACTCCATACGGGATTGATCCGCTGCACTTCTTCATCGATTTGAGGGTCTCGGGACACATCTACGACAGGAAAAACCAAAGGGACGAAGCGGCCAAAGTTGACTCAGAGGAAAAGAAGCAAACTGTTGGTAAAGAACCAGTCTTTAAACAATCACGACACGCGTCTGCTTTCTCCGTTCCTACTCCACGTCTCAACCGACCCATGAATTTGAGTCACAGTGAAGAATACACGGACTTCACTCAAGAATCCAAGAATTTAAAATTCGACGTTAAGTCAATGGGTTTAGATAGAAACAAAATCGGAACTAGCTACATCATGACCAACATCAACCACATTTACAAGAACGTGGCTGAAGAGGGTCAACACATGGTCAAGAATGAGGGTTCTTCCGAAAACGGAAGCACGAACGAAAACGACAACGAAACCGAAGAAGAAAAACAGAAGAGGGTGAAAGACTTGAGGGCTTTAATTGGGTTGGAGTTGGTGGTGGATTATATGAATCACGCTAAGCCGCAACCGAAGCGCCCTCTGGAGGAAACCGGCTTCACGGACTCGGAGTCCGCGGAAAGTCCGACTCTGGAAGTGGTAGCCGTTCACGACGAAACTTAAACTAGTTGTTATTTTGTGGTTAGGTTTGACTAGAGTTGCAAATGTATCGTTATACAATGTTAGATATGTAATAAATTATGCTGTACATATGTGTATTTAATTTGAAGGCTATGTGGCAAATAAAGATGTATATATGAAGTGCTAAGTTTTTTTTGAAAAAGTGTGAACAAAATTTTGAATGTCAAATTTGAAACTAAATAGTCAAACATTTGTGGTCAAACAACTACATCGTGACTGAAATTGTTCAAATAATAAATATAGGCTGCAAAGCCAGGTTTAATTCAAAAATAATAGACGGTATGCATATTTCGTTTCGGCGTTAATTTTTGGCGCATAAATTAATCTCGACCGTGATTGATTTCTTTTTAAATATTTTGCGATGTAAATGAAACCGTTCGGTTTCCACGCCGCGTTTTATTATAAAATGTAAATTCTATTGTAGCGTAGTGAAAATTTAACTAATATTTGCAGGCGAAAAGCTTTTCCTTATGAATATGCAAAACAGGAGCGGGTGAGAGTGTGTGTGAATATTTACACATTTTACATGACGGTAGTTGTGGAAAATCTCGCTTGTCGGCACCTAACCTACCCGAACGGCGGATTTGCATGCGATTTTAACAATGCCCCGGGCTTAATTTTAACGTGATTAAGTTTTAACAAAACTCCGTCGACATCGGGCTGTATTTGTTCTGACGGATGACGAAAGGGATTATATTACAAAATCGTAAATATTATTACATTGTCTGATTTGCAATAATCTTCATATTTTAAAGATTAAGTCAAAACGGGCTTTATTAGGATTTTTCGGCGATTGATCGTCGTGCGGCTGTAAAATTTTAATGGTGTAATTACGGCTTAGTGACAAAATGGCCGCACGTCAAGTTCTAAACATAAATTAAGCCACAATAAAGAAACTATAACTTAGAAAGTTTCATTTATAAAATCAATACATACTTAAATTGAGCTTTTCAAAGTATTGTAGACACCCCGTACACAAAAAATTCGATGTACATACCTACAAGTTTTGAAATATTGCAGCCGCCGTTTCCCCCGACAAACTTTTCCAATTTATAGCATCCCCTATAAATCACCGCGGTTGAGGAAATAATATCATTATTATATTGTCGGCGGATGACAGCAAGTATTCGTTTTTGTTAAATTTATTTATGAGCTAATATTTAAGCAAACAACGCGACTGCCGACTCGCCGAAATCCAATTAAACGAAAATTCTGTTTGCCGTCCCTCATTCCGAGAAAGAAAACTTAGAGATAGTGAGCCCCGAAAAAATTGTCTTATTCCGACTGCAAGAAACAAACGACCCGGCAGCAAGCAACCCCGAGGGAGTCAAAGTCTCGAAGCGATCACTTCTTTCCTCTTCGGGCTAATTTATTATGAATATTATTTAAAGTAGCTCGCCATATTTGAAAATTACCACCGCCAGGACTCATTTGTAATGGTAATGATGTAAAAGTTGCGCAAACAAATGCGGGATACTTACCTGAAAATCAGACTCTTAAACTTTGCGGCGGTACTTACTTTGCTTAATGAGGAGGCGGGGAGACCGAATTGAGGCGGAAAGAAACTTGAGTGCAGCGATTTTTTTTTCTAAAATTTATCCAAAAGTGAGTAAGTTCAAATTATTAATTTAACAACTAATATAAAATAAAAAAATAACAAATGTAGCTAATGAGGTGACGAGTTTAATTGCAAACGAGTTTATTAAAGTCGTTGACTTTATTGTTAACGTTTTTTGCTATTTAGTCAAATAAATCGATTAAAAAAGTGAAAATCCCTTTGACCTTGTCGTGCGATTGTAATCTGCGCCACTGCCTTGCCGCCGCGAAACTACAAATACCAACCCAACGCACCCAATATCACCAATTTTGATACACCACTTTGACATTTGATTGACTTATCAATATAACCTCCTGTCAACAATGACATTGGCAATGACGTGATATTTAAAAGTTGTTATACATTTATTCATTAGACTTTATAATTAACCCGTTTTACAATCGAAATGTCGACGTTTTACCTCAGAACCATGAAAGCTTTGGACCCTCTGGTCCCACAAAAACTTCAACCCTTGTGGCAACATCCTGCAGGTTAGTTAAAAACAATTACAACATTCAGTGACACTTGTGGAATTGCAGGCCCAAAAACCGTGTTTTTCTGGGCGCCAGCTTTCAAATGGGTAAGTTAAGAGTGTGTAATTTGGAACTAGTTGTATTTGATTATTTTTTCAGGGGTTAGTTGTTGCAGGACTTGGAGACTTGGCTCGTCCTGCTGAAAGTTTGAGTGTCCCTCAGAGTGCGGCGTTGGCAGCTACTGGGATAATTTGGTCACGGTACTCTCTGGTCATTATTCCAAAAAATTACGGGCTTTTTAGTGTCAACGTGTTTGTGGCTATTACTCAACTCATGCAGCTATATAGAGCATATAAGTGAGTTACTGGCTATATCTATGCATAATTTCGACACTTGTTTGTTTTAGTTATCAGCAAAGTCTCAAAAAGGTTGAGTATAAGTAGGAATTACTAAGGAAGTGCCTTCATTTATCAAAACAGGGTTATCTATTGTAGTTTTGTTGAATTTTAAACTCAAATTAGTTTAAGTGCAATTTTTAAAACTACCAAGGTTTGGTCTATTTTTGATATTAAGAAAATGTATTTTCGGATATGTTACATTGTGTCAGAGCTCAATAAAGAGGTGGAACTGCAGTTACTTTTTTCGTAATTTAAATTTGCCGCCAAAATTTCGAGTGTCAGCTGATTGTCAAACCCAAAATTGACAAGTGTTGACAAACACTAGTGGTATAATCGGTGTTATCACTTATAACAAGTGACATTTAAAAATAGAACATCTAAACAAGCACTCGTCACTTCATCCCAATTAGTATTTATCAATTTTTTGCGACTAGAAGGTGTAAAAAATAAGGTGAGTAAAATCGATTTTCGTGAGTAATATATTTTTATTTAATTACAATTAAAAAATATAAATAATTTGTGTGATTATTGTTTATGGTGAATCTTTCATGTAATCAATGTACCATGTGCGAGACCACGCGGCCTTGAAGGTACAAAGTCGACGAAATGTATTGAACCGATAGCTTTTTGATTCAGTTTTTGATTGGATTAAAAATTTTACTTAGTTTCCACCTATAAAAATATTCTATTTTGGATGTAGGAATCCTAAATTAGGCTAATATTAATTGTAGTTTTACTATGGAATTTCTTAAGAGTACCTACTTGTATCATGATAGTAAAAAATGAACCGTCATCCTAAGAGAATAATCGAGATCAAATCATAGTTGTTTTTTTATTGTGTACAAAAAATACAATCATATTTCCGATGCAAAAACCCTGATCATGAGTTCCACTTGATGACTATCCGGACGACCTTCACTTATAACACTTGATTGCTTGTTTACCGTGCAACAAGTTGTTCCTTTTGCACTAAGTGAATTAAAAAAACTGTCAGTCATATTTGCGTCGTCACGCTTACCTACTTCTTGAAATAGTGCGATTTATTTACCCAGTCTGTCAACCCAATTTAACCATGAGTACCATGACCCGAGACCTCGACATCATCCTGTTCGGAGCCACCGGATTCACAGGTAAACACGCCCTTCCTCTAATCGCCAAATTCGCGAAGGCCAAAAACCGCAACCTGACTTGGGGAGTCGCCGGCCGTAACGAGAACAAGCTAAAGGACTTCTTGGAGCAATGCGAGAAGGACACTGGTAAGAATTTCGCGTTGGTTGGCACAATCTGATTTTTGAACTAGGGACCCCGTTGAGCGACGTCCCGATAATCATCGCCGACGTCCAAGACGACAAAAGCTTAACCGACATGGCCCGAAAAGCCCGAATCGTCGTAAACTGTTGTGGTCCTTATCGCTTTTTCGGCGAACCTGTAGTCAAAGCGTGCGTCGAAGTAGGGACACATCATGTGGACATCGCCGGAGAGCCCGAGTATGCGGAGAGGATGCAGTTGAAATATAACGACAAAGCTAGAGAGAAGGGGGTCTACATTGTTAGTAGCTGCGGATTTGATAGCATACCTGCAGATTTAGGGCTTCTCTTCGTACAAAAGAAGTTTGACGGCACTTTGAACTCAGTTGTTAGCTATTTGGAGTCGTGGCAGGAAGGACAGGACATTCCGGGACCGGTGCTTAACTATGGCACCTGGGAGTCAGCGGTTTATGGGGCTGCAAACGCTGGACAGTTGAAAGCGCAACGAAGGCAACTTTTTCCGACGAAACTTCCGAGTTTTAAACCAAAATTACAGCGCAAGTATGTGACAATTTTTTCTACCAAAAAATTAAAACTAATTAAAATTTGTTTTTAGGGCCCGTCCTCATAAAAACGACCATGTGGAAGGCTGGGTGTTGCCTTTCCCTGGTGCTGATCGCGCGGTCATGGAACGATCGCAGCGCCTCTTCTACGAGAAGGACCAAAAAAGGCCCGCTCAAATCGAGACCTATTTTATTATCAAGTCATTCTGGAACGTCGTTTTGGTGGCCTTTTTCGGCTCGATTTTCCAACTTTTGGCGAAGTTCAAGTGCGGAAGAAATCTTTTATTGAAAGTAAGTACCAATGGAGCGAGTATAGTGATTCATGTTTGGTTTTCAGTATCCCGAAAAATTCAGCGCCGGATTATTCAGCCGGGAGTCTCCGAGTGAAGAAAAAATCAAAAATATGCACTTCAGTGTGACTTTATTTGGTGAGGGATGGAAAGGGAAGCTTGTTGATGGGAATGATCAGTACTCCACCCCTCCAGATAAGCTTATAAGCGTTAAAGTCAAAGGGAGCAATCCTGGCTATGGCGCCACTTGCGTGTCTTTGTTGCTGTCTGCTATAACCATCCTCACGGAACCTGAAAAAATGCCCTCTGAAGGAGGAGTATACCCACCGGGTTACGCTTTCGCTAATACCACCCTTATTGAACAACTAAATGACAACGGACTCACGTTTGACGTACTTTTTGAGAAGGATTTGTCGCATTCTTAACATTAACATTTATTGTACATTTTAACCATATAAAAGGCCCAATTCTGAATCAAACCCGTTAAAATTTAAAGGTTGTTAAAAAATAAACAGCCAATCAGATTTACGGATTTAACTCGTTACTATGGAAATTTGCAATTTAACATCCTTTAAATTTAACAACTTTGATTCAGAATTGCCCCTAATGTCAAATAAAATATGTTTAGTTTTATATTTAAACGGGTTTTTCCTGTTTGGAATTTATATTTTCTGACAGTATGAAAACTGTACTTTGGTACACAGTGTACAGAACTGTGAGCATTCTGAACCCAAGGTAAAATTTGACTGTTTATGGTTAAATTTGATCACGTTACATAATTCCGACATTTGTTTGTTTTAGTTATCAGTAGTCTCAAAAATGTTAAGTATTATCCATTTACGATCTTTATATAGTAAAGTACGCTTTAATATTTTTTCTTTAAGTTGGATAAACTGATCTGATGATTTGGTTTTTTGTCTATCAGTAGTCTGATTGACATTTGCTTTGAGCTGGATTGCCACTTTTCTACTTCATTTATTAGATCAGAATTATTAGACGCAATTGTGACAGATTCACAAATCATTGCGACATTATTTAAAAAGAAAATGCCTAAAATAGTTTTACTGCAACTAAAAATTGCAATAAAAAGATGTTTTTATTATATATTTTCTGTAATGTAAAAATACGCTGCAAAATATTTTTTAATTTATTTTCTCATCAACTGTGGCGAAAATTTTACCAACAGGGACCAAAATTTAAAAACATCACTATCTGGCAAGCGAAAACCAACGGATTTATTTACAAATTATATGTTTCGGAAAGACCTGCAACGACAAATTTGGCAACTTAATGAAAAAAACGAATATTTCACTGCAGATACTCTTTTGGCATATTCTAGGGAACAGTTGGAATTTAAAGGGGGGCGAACCACATTATACTAAATTCTTAAGTCAATGGGTTATAAACTCAGAGAAGTAAATGGTCGCAAAATTCTATGTGAACAAAAACATGAAAATTATTTTTTTGAGAACAGGTTTACAGTTTCTAAATTCTTGTGAAAATTTGACTTTCGTGTATTTGGATGAAGCATGGATCCATCAAAATGGTCGTCGCTGGGTGCACGATACTGATCTAAAAAGCGATGGACGGGACAATTTTTCAAAATTGGGTGGTTAATCAGCTCATTCCTGCTTTGGCAAAGTTGGACCAAAAATGTGTGGTGGTTTTAGACAATGCACCGTATCATTCGGTTCAGTTGGATAAACCACCCACTTTTTCTAGTGAAAAATGTATTGAATTTGACAAAAAATTTTCGAAGAGACAGTTGTGGGATTTAATTAAACCCTTCAGAAACAATATTTGGTAGACGATACATTAAGAGAAAGTGGCCATAAAGTTGTACCATTGTCAATATAATCCAATTGAAATGGCGTGCGGATTTTGTAAGAACTATTACAACAAGTATATAAATTCTCAACCTTCATTAAAAAATAGGGTGGAGGCGCTTTCTAAATGTATTCCAAGCATGTGGCAAAATTTTTGTAAACATTGTGAAAAACTTATTTTGCCAGATTTATTGTTTCACTAGGTGAATCTGATTCAGAATCTGAATTTGAAAATGACGATGATGGTACAGATTTTCATAGCGAAATAATGGAAATGGAGTGAATTATAGCTTGTCGGGGGGTGATATTTTTACGCATCTTTCGTTCTAAATTTACCAAGGTAGTATGTGAAAAACTACCTGACGTACAACAAAATAAGTCAATTTTAGTTAGATCATCCACGTTGTCACTTTGCACCAGATTTTAAGCATTTTCTTTTTTTTTTTGTAGTTCTTCATGGACCTGGAGAAGGCATATAGTAACGTTCTTGTTAATAAGCGTTTGAAAGTACTTAGTAAAAGCAAATAAAGAGCACTTACGTAAGCATTAGTAATAGCTATATAGATAAATCATTCAGTTTAAGGCCGGAAAAATGTTTCAGAAGAACTAAACCCATCAAAGCACTAGAGCAAGGTTGTTGTCCTTTACCAACCCTTTTAGTAATCTTAGAAAAGTGAAAAAAGAAGTTGGAAGATATGAAAATAGGCTGTTCACAAAGGTCGAAATTTCCATTTCTAAGAAAAGTGGGCGAGCAGAACGAACTTATGATTGAGAATTAAAGATGACATGCTAAATGTGGCATGCGACAATAGTCGTATGTAGAACCCCCATTCATATAAAAACAATGTTTAAGTGAAATTTTAGTGTTTGTTCCTTACATATGAAATAAACACTTACAAAAAGCCGAATAACTGTTTTAAATAGCGTAAAGTTTTATGCTTTCTAAGAAATGGATACCGTTAACTTGGTCATTGCTACTGAAAACTGAAAGTATCGGCAACAATGTTTATATTTCTGGCGTATTTTTTAATCTTTAATCTAATAAAACATAACCTAACGAAAAAAGTTCAGGGAATTTTTATTCGTCTGCATCGAATACCAACAAACTCACTAGATTTTCATGCCCAACCCTACTATATAAAGATCGTGAACGAATAATAAGTATCACGCTTCTTTAAACCCAGATTCTACGAAACTGTTTGATGAGAATTCAGCTTGATTTTTATTTTAAAAGTTAAATTCAAATTCACCGCGAAAATTTTCATGCTCATCGGGCTCATCGTCACAGACTCTCATCTCATCATCGTGTTAGTTCGGAAGTCAGCTGATTGTCAAAAGTGACAAATGTACGCGTTACCGGCGTTTTATTATCAGTGTGGTGCGGTGTTATCACTAGTCTTCAAGTAACATTTAAAAATAGAAAATAGAAGTGAGTACTGAACACTCAGTGTTTTATCGTTTAGTACCGACTTGTTACAACTGGAAGGTATAAGGCTATAAGGTAAATGGTGGACAAAAAATTCGTTTTTCGTGAGTTTTTCATCCTAATAAAGTTTCTAATTTAAGCAAAATGCATAAGTACTTTGTGAGATTATTTTTTATGTTGTGCTTTTTACGCAGTCAATTATGCAGCCATGTGAGATGCCACGCGGCCATAAAGGTACAGGGTCGATGAAATGTATTGAACCGATAACGCCGATGTTTGCTTTTTTTAATTAAGTTCTTAAAATTCACTTTTGCATCGTCACACTTATTCTCATAATATTGACTTTTCTCTTCCTGAAATGCGTATTAACTCGTCGAAAATAGCATTAAGCGTCACATTTCTCATTTTACGACTGGCACCAAACATTTACACTTCCATCTATAAACCCGCGATTTGTTTATACAGTCCGTCAACACCTGCACTGTTCGCAGTTTAACCATGCCCCGAGACCTAGACATCATCCTGTTCGGCGCCACGGGATTCACCGGTAAACACGCCCTTCCTCTAATCGCCAAATTCGCGAAAACCAAAACCCGCAACCTGGCTTGGGGAGTCGCCGGTCGTACCGAGAAAAAGCTGAAAGACCTCTTGGAGCAATGCGAGAAGGATACCGGTAAGAATTTTGCGTTGGTTGGCACAGTTTGATTTTTGAAATAGGGACCCCGTTGAGCCACGTCCCGGTGATCATCGCCGACGTCGAAAACGAGAAAAGTCTGACCGAAATGGCCAAAAAAGCGCGAATTATCGTCAATTGTTGTGGGCCGTATCGCTTTTTCGGGGAGCCTGTAGTTAAAGCGTGCGTTGAAGAAGGGACGCATCATGTGGATGTGAGCGGGGAGCCGCAGTATATGGAGAGGATGCAGTTGAAATATAACGAGAAAGCTAGGGAGAAGGGGGTTTATGTTATTAGTGCTTGCGGATTTGATAGCATACCGTCAGACTTAGGGCTGGTGTTTTTGCAAAAGAAGTTTGATGGCACTTTGAATTCGGTTGTTACTTATATGGAGTCATGGGAGGAAGGGCAAGCCGTTTCAGGTCCGGCTATTAATTACGGCACTTGGGAGTCTGCAGTCTATGGGTTAGCGCACGCGCAGGAGTTGAGGGCGCTACGAAAGGAGCTTTTCACCACCAGACTCCCCAGTTTCAAACCAAAATTGCAGGCCAAGTATGTGAAAGAATTTTGCAACTTTTATACTATGAAATTGTTTCTTGCACTTCACTCAAATTCGGGTTTTAGGACCGTTCCTCATAAAAGCGAGCATCTGGAAGGTTGGGTGCTGCCTTTCCCTGGTGCCGATCGCTCAGTAATGAAACGCTCGCAACGCCTTTTCTACGAGAAAGACCAAAAAAGGCCCGTTCAAATCGAGACCTATTTCATTCTTAAATCATTTTGGAGCGTCTTCCTGATATCCATTTTCGGCATGATTTTCCAATTCTTGGCGAAGTTCGATTTCGGAAGGAGTCTCCTATTGAAAGTAAGTGCCCACGCAGCGAGTATAGTGATTCACGTTGGTTTTCAGTACCCTGAAAAATTCAGCGCCGGATTCTTCAGCCGGCAGCCTCCAAGTGAAGAAAAAATCGAAAAGGCGCGCTTCAGTGTGACTTTGTTTGGTGAGGGATGGAAAGAGAAGCTTGCTGATGTCAACGATCAGTACTCCACTCCTCCAGACAAGCTCATAAGTGCCAAAATCAAAGGAAGCAACCCAGGTTATGGCGCCACTTGCGTGTGTTTGTTGCTTGCTGCTATAACCGTCATCACAGAACCCGAAAAGATGCCCTCTGGTGGAGGAGTTTACCCACCAGGTTATGCTTTCGCTAATACTTCTCTTATTGAGCAACTTAATGAAAACGAAGTTACGTTTGATGTACTTTTTGAGAAGGATTTGTCTGATTCTAAACATTAACGGTTTAGGCTTTGTTTGATTTGCTTTGTGTTTGTTAAAATATTTAACGTGCGTATTTATTGTACTTTTTAACCATGTAATGTCAAATAAATATATACTTAAACGGGAAGGCCAAGTGTGTTTTTTTTACGTTAAAACCAGTCAAACACCAGTAAAAGTTATTTGTACAACTGGCACCACTAGTTTCAAAGCAATATGTTCATCAGAGAATCGCACTCTGACATAATGAGTTACACATACCTGAGATAACTGATTTTTAAGTCATCACAATTAAAAAATCTGTGGCCCTCCTTTCACCTGGCACTAGTCTCCCCTACAAGTTTTTAATTATCATAAAACACCAAGTCACTACGATAACGTGACACTTGTGCTATCTGTTAGCGTGTTTACAAGTGCGTTGTTCAATCAAATTATATACTAGTCTTTCAATACGAATTATTTTTATTATTATTTAAAATTAGACCAGTATCAAGTTGTATTTGACCTTGCATTGTTAATTATCCACCTGCGTTTGGCATTGCATTGTTTATTTATGTATCGGTATATCAAATAGGCACTACGCGACGGTTTAAAAATGACACGTGCCATAGACCTGGTCTTGTTTGGGGCCACCGGGTACACCGGTCAACGCGTAGTCCCCATCCTCCACAAATTCGCCCAATCAACAACGCCCCCACTGACTTGGGGCATCGCCGGCCGTTCCGAGCAAAAACTACAAGCTTTACGACAACAATGTGAACAAGAAATCGGTAAGACTTTAGTAGTTTTGTCAAAAATCTAACCCTGTACAATAGGAACCTCACTGAGTAATATCCCGGTCATCGTCGCCGACGTTCACAACGAACCGTCTCTAATCGAAATGGCAAAACAGGCCCGCATCGTTTTAAATTGTAGCGGGCCTTACAGATTCTACGGGGAGCCAGTAGTGAAGGCGTGCATCAACGAACAAACTCACTATGTAGACGTAAGTGGAGAACCCCAATTCATGGAAGAAATGCAGCTGAAATACAGCGAAAAAGCCAGACAACAAGGGGTGTATGTTATCAGTGGTTGTGGCATCGATAGCGTCCCTTCAGATTTAGGGGTAGTGTTTTTGCAACGAAAGTTCCAAGGTACTTTGAACTCCATTAACGTGTATATGGAAACGTGGGACGAGAAAGCCGTGGAAGGTCCCGTTATGAATTACGCCACTTGGGAGAGCGCTGTTCATGGGCTAGCACACGCCAAGGACTTGGGGGCGGTTCGGAAGAAACTATTTTCTAATAAGTTGCCCGTTTTTGAACCAAAACTGCAATCCATGTACTGTATACGCAAACTTTAACCTTTGCCCTTGATAGAACTGAGTTTGTAGAACCCGGCCACATAGAACTAACCTGGCGCAAGGCTGGGCGGTACCTTTTCCAGGCGCGGATCGCTCGGTCGTCAAAAGGTCCCAGCGCTTTTTTTACGAACAAGCCAAAAAGCGCCCGATCCAAATCGAGGTCTACTTTATCCTTAAATCCTTCCTCACTATACCCAAACTGGCTATATCGAGTTTGATTGTTCAAACTTTGGCACAGCACCAGCGTGGACGGGAACTTTTACTAGAAGTAAGTATATTTAAAATTGGAAACGCGTACTTTTTAAAGTATTTTTTATAATAGTATCCTAAGGAATTTAGTGGTGGAGTCTTCAATAAGACTTCTCCAAGTGAGGAGAAAAACCAGAATTCGCGTTTTTCGGTCACTCTGTATGGCGAGGGGTGGAAAGAGGGGGTTGCTGATGCCGACCATCAGTATGACGTTCCTCCAAATAAAGCTATATGTGGAAAAGTCAAAGCTAGCAATCCGGCTTATGGTGCCACGTGTGTGTGTGTGGCGCTGTCTGCTATTACTGTGATCACTGAGACTGAAAAAATGCCTCCTAGTGGAGGTGTGTACTCTCCGGGGTACGCTTTCGCCAATACCACCCTTATTGAGCGGCTTCATGAGAATGAGGTTACGTTCGAAGTGGTGTTTGAAAAAGATTTGCTCAGTTCTAAATACTGATATATTTTTTTTATTCAGGGTTTTTATATACCGTTGTTATTAAATTTTTCTATTTGTTGGTTTTTAAAGACACAAAATAAAAAGTTTGTTACAATAAACAGGGTAAATTTTATTACCAAGCTTTAGCCCTTGTTTTTTTTAGGAGTGTTAAACTGTTTAAAATTTAAAAAAAAATCAATTGCAAAAATATATGAGGAATTCACGTTCGGTAGATGTAACTAGATTTTTTTAAGCGTTTAAAATGACAAATTTTTGTAAAAAAAATATGGATTTTGCAATTAGGCTCCGCCTCTAAATTTTCCAACGAATGAAAACTTCATTACTGTTTAAATCAGGGCAAGGCTTAATCTTTGGCTTTAATGTAACTAGTATTCTTTGAATAACGCGATACTCAAAAACATGTCTTACATGGTAATTTCTTAGAGAAATAATAAGAATTATGCAATTAAATTCTGCTCCTTTGGCTCTCGACGATTTAAAAAAAATCATCACAATTGAGACAGGGTGGGTGGGGTTTCTCATTTTGTTTTCTTTTTTAATTAATACAAAATAATGTAATAACAAAAATAATAACACGATTACTTAAAAACATAAATATTTCACATGCTAATTTCTCCTAGAAGCCATCTTTTCACAACATGGTTAAAATGGTACATTTTTATAAGAAAGAATGGATTTTGCAATTATGGGGAGAGTCTAATTGCAAAATCGATTTTCCTTATACAAATTTTCCATTTTAAACATATTTTAAGTTTCATGTTGTGAAAATAAGTCTACACATATCAAAACAAAAAGGTAAAATATAAGCCCGCCCACCCACCCTGTCTCAAATGTGATGATTTTTTTATTCGCCGTATACCAAGGGGGCGGAGCTTAACTGCAAAATACTGACTTTTTTACAAAGAAATTAAAGACATGTTTTTGAATGTCGTGTTGTTCAAAAAATACTATCTATACTAAGAAAAAAAGGCAAAATATAAACCCCGCCCACCCACCCAAACTCAATTGTGACGACTTTTTTTATTCTTAGAAACTTAAAACACGTTTAAAATGGTAAATTTTTCCGCTCTTTTGGCTCACGACAATTAAAATAAAATTTATCAAAATTGAGATAGGGTGGGTGGGCGGGGCTTATATTTTGCATTTTTTCATAATAGATTATGAAGTCGTCCTTTCACAACAAGAAACTTAAAATATCGAGACGGATGGGTGGGACTTCTCTTTTGGTTTTCCTTTTTAATTAATATATACATTTACTTTTCTTTATATACCATGATTACTTACGAACATATTTCAGATGGTAATTTCTCGTAGAAAAATACGGATTTTACAATTAAGCTCCATCCCTCGGCGTAACGACGAATAAAAAACATCATCCGAATTAAGATATGGTGGGTGGGCGGGGCTTATATTTTGTCTTTCTTTTATCTTAATATGCATAGCCATCTTTTCACAACATGAATCTTAGAACATGGTTAAAATGGTACATTTTTGCAAGGAAATATGGATTTTGCAATTATGGGGCGGACTCTAATTGCAAAATCAATTTTCCTTATACAAATTTTCAATTTTAAACATATTTTAAGTTTCATGTTGTGAAAATAAGTCTACACAAATTAAAACATAAAAGATAAAATATAAGACCGCCCACCCACCCTGTCTCAATTGTGATGATTTTTTTATTCGCCGTATACCAAGGGGGCGGAGCTTAACTGCAAAATACTTATTTTTTTTACAAAGAAATTAAAGACATGTTTTTGAATGTCGTGTTGTTCAAAAAATACTATGTACCTATACTAAGAAAAAAAAGCAAAATATAAACCCCGCCCACCCACCCAAGCTCAATTGTGATGATTTTTTTTATTCTTAGAAACTTAAAACACGTTTAATCTTTCCGCTCTTTTGGCTCTCGACAATTAAAATAAAATTCATCAAAATTGAGATAGGGCGGGTGGGCGGGGCTTATATTTTGCCCTCTCTTCTTAATATACATAGTATTCTTTTCACAACAAGAAACTTAAATTATGTTTAAAATAGTAAATTTGTACAGGGAAATATCGATTTTGCAATTAAATTCCTCTCCTTTGGCTCTTGGCGCTTAAAAAAAATCATCACAATTGAGATAGGGTGGGTGGGCGGGGCTTATATTTTGCATTTTTTCATAATATATTATGTAGTCGTCCTTTCACAACAAGAAACTTAAAACATGTTCGAAATAGTAAATATCGATGTTGCAATTACGCTCCGCCCCTCGGTCTGACAACGAATGAAAAATTCATTACGATTGAGATCGAGACGGATGGGTGGGACTTCTCTTTTGGTTTTCTTTTTTAATAAATATATACATTTAGTTTTCTTTATATAACATGATTACTTACGAACATATTTCACATGGTAATTTCTCGTAGAAATATAAGGATTTTACAATTAAGGTCCATCCCTCGGCGTAACAACGAATAAAAAAAATCATCAGAATTAAGATAGGGCGGGTGGGCGGGGCTTATATTTTGCCTTTCTTTTATCTTAATATGCATAGCCATCTTTTCACAACAAGAAACTTAGAACATGGTTAAAATGGTACATTTTTGCAAGGAAACATGGATTTTGCAATTATGGGGCGGAGTCTAATTGCAAAATCGATTTTCCTTATACAAATTTTCCATTTTAAACATATTTTAATTTTCATGTTGTGAAAATAAGTCTACAGATATTAAAACAAAAAGGTAAAATATAAGCCCGCCCACCCACCCTGTCTCATTTGTGATGATTTTTTTATTCGCCGTATACCAAGGGGGTGGGGCTTAACTGCAAAATACTTACTTTTTTACAAGAAATTAAGACATGTTTTTGAATGTCGTGTTGTTCAAAAAATACTAAATACAGGGTGTTATTGAAAGGTACGTACAACAAAATTGACAGTTCTTCCAGAAGTCTAAGAAGCCTGAAAAACGTATTTTGTGTTGTCAAAATTATAAAGGGAAAATTAACCACTATCCAACCTTTTTAGACGCTACTGAAGGATAAATAGGTAAAATTAATTTATTTTAGTAAATCCTAGTAACTGTGACAATAATAAAAAAATAAGAGACCCTTTTGTTTCTATAGAAACGAAAGATGACCTTTTTATCAGAGGCGTACAACGAATTTGGACATAAATTTTAATAATTTTTATCTCTAAAAGGAGAACACTTTTACCTGAACTTTTTTTTAATTTTAACACTCATACTTCTAGATCAATTGCCGATTTTATTTTGTACGTACCTTTCAATAACACGCTGTATACTAAGAAAAAAAGGCAAAATATAAACCCCGCCCACCCACCCAAACTCAATTATGACGACTTTTTTAATTCTTAGAAACTTAAAACACGTTTAAAGTCGTAAATTTTTCCGCTCTTTTGGCTCACGACAATTAAAATAAAATTCATCAAAATTGAGATAGGGCGGGTGGGCGGGGCCTATATTTTGCCCTTTCTTCTTAATACGTAGTATTCTTTTGACAACAAGAAACTTAAAACATGTTTAAAGTGGTAGATTTGTATAGGGAAATATTGATTTTACAATTACGCTCCGCCCCTCGGTCTGACAACGAATGAAAAATTCATCACGATTGAGATCGAGACGGATGGGTGGGACTTCTCTTTTGGTTTTCGTTTTTATTTGATATATACATTTAGTTTTCTTTATATACCATGATTTCTTACGAACATATTTCACATGGTAATTTCTCGTAGAAATATAAAGATTTTACAATTAAGCTCCATCCCTCGGCTTAACGACGAATAAAAAAAATCATCAGAATTAAGATAGGGCGGGTGGGTGGGGCTTATATGTTGCCTTTGTTTTTTCTTAATATACATAGCCATCTTTTCACAACAAGAAATTTAGAACATGGTTAAAATGGTACATTTTTGCAAAATCGATATTTCCGTATACAAAATTTCCATTTTAAACATGTTTTAAGTTTCATGTTGTGAAAAAAAATCTACACATATGTATAAATACAAAAAGGCAAAATGTAAGCCCGCCCACCCGCCCTATCCCAATTGTGATTATTAGAAACTTAAAACACGTTTAAAATGGTAAATTTTCGAAACGGAAATATGGATTTTGCAATTAGGCTCCGCCCCGAGGTCTCCCAACGAATGAAAACTTCATTACTGTTTAGATCAAGGTAGGTATGGGTGGGGCTTAATCTTTGCCTTTAATTCTTTCTTAATATACATAGTATTCTTTGAACACGATACTCAAAAACATGTTTTTAATTTTTCGTAGAGAAATAAGGATTTTGCAGTTAAGCTCCGCCTTTTTATCTCACGACGAATGAAAAAATCATCACAATTGAGATCGGGTGGGTGGGCGGGGCTACAATTTGCTTGTTTTTCTTAATATGTGTAGACTTATTTCGAGAACAAGAAACTTAAAACATATCTAAAGTGGTAAATTTTTGTAGCAATCAGCTTGAATCCTCCAGTTTAAATACGGCGAAAGCTGAACATTAAAGTTGGCAATTTTCAGCTCTAAAAGCAACATCAACAGCAAATTTATAAATCCCACTTTCAGTCTATCCGGTCGTGTGCATTGACGGTGTATAGTTGGTTGCCTAATCGTTTTTAAAATAATTTTAAAAATTATATTATATACCCTTGGTGTCCACTCTAAAAATCTCAATTTGTGACTTATTCATACAAAAGGGACTGAAGGCAGATTCCAAATGACTTTTAAATGGTTTAAGACAAGCATGGGAAATGAAATTCGAAAATCTAAAGGCAGGTACAAAGTTTCAAAATCTACAAATCTTTTAATAAATGTGGTAATAATAAAAATCTACAATAATGATGTCTTGTAAAATTATTTATTTATTAATGTGTTACATCGACAGTACATCACACTTTAAAAATGGCACATATCACAGACTTGGTCTTGTTTAGGGCCCCTGGGGGTAGCAGCCAACATGTGATCCCTGTAGTGAGCCCATCAACAACACCTTCACTTATTTATCAACAAAATTAAAAAATAACAAGGTGTCCTTCAGGGATCCAACGGGAGACATCTGCATTTCGTCATTTTTATTAACGACTTGCTTCCCAAACCGACTTGACTAAGTTCGTGACTAATGGGTGTTTACAAAGACACAACAACGTACTAATTAAAAGTATATTATTAAAAAAGGTGTATACTCACGTTGTACTTCAACACACTGTTTTCATTATAAAAATTAAATTAAACAAGTCTAAAATATCCACCTTATAAAAATTTCCGGGATTGTGTCAGACCACACCTGAAACCACCTGTCAAATAAAACCCAACAATAACAACCCAATCACCTCATCCCTGAGTCAAAGCCATCTGCGCTTGTTTTAGCAGCGGCCCCAATTCCTCCTTGAACAAACTACTGCCTACACCATGCGTGATTTTCAAAATTTTGTACGCAGTGGTCAGATGCTCCAGCGCCAATTCGTCGCTTTCCTCAAACAGCAGAATCTTCCCCAGCTTTAGGTGCAGCAGACCCGTCACCGGATGCACGCCGCCGTAGTACTTGCTGAAAAAATTTCTATTTTTCGTTTCTCTTAATGATGGATGTGAACAGGTTCGCGCTGACGCGGCAACCTGACCCCATTTATACTTACTAATAAGCGTCGACTAGCTCAAGGGCGAGCGTCCTGGCAAAATCCCACTTCTGAAAGTCAATACTCGATTGAAAAGCTAAATCTAGTGTCTTGACGTGTTTTATGTTGTATTTGTGTAACACACCGCGTTGTTTCTGCAAGCAGATTTCGCACACGTCCAGATCTAAGTATATACTTAAGGAAGACACGTCACGGCGCGAACCGCGGACTGAACACCTGGAAAGGATACAGGCCATTTGCTTCATGTTTTGTAGATGCATGTCGGTGAACTCTAGGACTTCGTTAAAATTGGACAAGAATGTCTCGGAGATCGGTGTTCCACATTTTGAGCAGCTGTCGCCTGGACTCGCGTTCTGGGCGTCGATGGAGTTATCACAGGTTGGGTTGGGGCATGCGGCAGCCTGGATTTCCGGCGGCTCGGGGCCCAGGCATTTGGGGCACTGACACAGGAAGTAGTAGGCCGTCTCTAGTTCTTTCTGTCTGTCTTTTGTTGTGTTTAAAATGTCAATGTAACTGATACGGATCTGGAAAAGTGGGTGTAGTTTTGTGGGGCGCTACGGGATCTGGGGCTTCAAATTCGCAAAAACGGCCCTGGTGCATCCGTTAAATTTCTGCAGCTTTGTTGTCGACTACCTTAATTGCATTTATTTATAATATTAAGTGGGTGATTTTTTTTTTTTTCGTCAAGTTGGCGACATATTTATTTTATGTTTGGCGAGGTTTTTAACATTTTTTGGCAATGTTGACATTTTGGCAGTATTTGTTTGCCTGTAGAAAGAACACGCTTTTTATAAATAAATCTTGCAAGAAATTTCTTTATTGTTTTTGACATGTTTGACGTTTTACATGTTGCATGATACCATGTTATTTTTTTTAGATAATTAACTAGCCAAGTTAGTGACCCTGTCTACATACATACATTTACTCCTATTATTTTTGTACCATTGGAACTAATTGTTGTTTATATATTATTCTAGTCACAATACTGAGACAAACACGTTGAGTCATCACAATGCCAGTGGCGTATCATTTGTGTTCTAAAATCAGGACATTCTAAAAAATATATTTTAAGAATTATTTTATACTCTGCAATTCTGGAAATAAATTATTTCAATAAAGAAATACTGACTGTAGGTCGTTTCATTGGTGCTAAAAATAAATCAAGTAATGTAAGTAAGAGTAGTGTTTTTTTAATTTTTGAATAAACTATAGTACGAGATCATTCAACTTTTTATAAATAAATCTTGACATGTTTGACATTTTACACGACACTGGTTTCTTTGACGTTTTTGACGTTTATTTGTTCCCTTTGAAATACCACGTTAATATTTTTTTATATAATTAACTAGGCAAGTTAGTTAAATTGATAACATACATTTACTCTTATAATTTTTGAATAATTGGAAATAATTGTCGTTTATATTATTCTAGTAAAAATATTATTGGAAAAACACGTTGAGTTATTACAATGCCAGTGGCGTATCATGTCTGTTCTAAAATCAAGACATTCCAAAAAATATATTTTAAGATTTATTTTCTACTTTGCAATTCTACAAAGAAATTATTTGAATAGGGAAAAACTGGCTGTTGGGCGTTGTATTGGTGCTAAAGATAAATCAAATCATACACAAAAATTTTTAAAAATCTGTTAAAACTGGGCTTAACATTCGCAAAAAACGCCACATTTATAGCTTTCTGTTGTGTCTAAATATGCTATAAAGGAATATTTCGCTTCAAAATTACCTTAAAAAAGTCCTATCTAAAATGTCCAAAATATGATGAGTCCGTACTTATGACTCAAAAAAATTAATGAATCAATGAATTTATTTTATTGAATAAATCAAGAATTGCAAAAATGAATACTTTGAAATCTTGCAGATGTTTTAAAGTTATTGTAAGTACATAACCAAATATATCTGTTTATTCCCCCCAAGAAATTGATGACATCATCTCAAAATTTTGCCGAATAAATTCTACCCAAAATGTGCAAAATATGTTTTTACTTGTGATTTATCATTGCATTCATATTTTTTAGATTTACTCCTATTTTCTCAGAAGATATGTCATTTGCCAAAATCAGTCTTATCTTAGCAAGGACTAGCCCCACCCACCCACCCTCTCTTTTCTTAGAGGCTATGTCATCTGCCAAAATCAGTTTTATCTTAGCAGCTACCAGCCACACTCATCCACCCACCCTCTCTTTTCTTAGAAGGAATCTCATTTGCCAAAATTGAACTTTTTTACCAAATACTAGCCCCACCCATCCACCCTCTCTTTTCTTAGAGGCTATGTCATCTGCCAAAATCAGTTTTATCTTAGCACGTACTAGCCCCGCCCACCCGCCTTCAAATTCCCTAGAGGCAGTGGTATTTGCCAAAATCAGTTTTATCTTAGCAAGTACTAACCCCGCCCACCCACCCTCTCTTTTCTTAGAGGCTATGTCATCTGCCAAAATCAGTCTTATACTATACAAATACTAGCATTTTGGTAAATCACATATCTTTTGAGAAAATGGGGGGCGGGTGGGTGGGGCTAGTACTTGCTAAGATAAGACTTATTTTGGCAAATGAAATATCCTCTGAGAAAATAAAGGGCGGGTGGGCGGGACTAGTACTTGCTAAGATAAGGCTGATTTTGCCTCTATTAGTCTTGTAAAAACTTGTTAAATTTAAAAGGTGTTAAACTGCAAATTTCCGTGCTAACGAGTTAAATTTCTAAATCTGATAGAGTGTTTATTTTTTATGTTTTATTTTACATCAGAAGCGAGGGAAGTTCTGTTGAAACAGATTTCGACCAATTTTTTGATTTTTCGATTTTTATAAATTTTAAATTTTCCAATTTTTCAATTTTTCGTTTTTTATGTTTTGATTTTACGATTTCTAGGATTTTTAATTTTTCAGCTTTTCATCTTTTCTATTGATAGGTCTTCCAATTTTTCAATGTTCAATTGTTCGATTTTTCAATTTTTCGAGATTTCAGTGTTTCAGTTTTTCGATTCTTCAATATTGCGATTTTTTGATTTCTCGATTTTCCAAATTTCTCAATTTTTCAACATTTAGTTTTGGGAAATTTTCAATGTCTGGATTTTTCAATTATTCGATATTTCGGCTTTTCAATTTTTCAATTCTTCGATTTTTAGTAATATTCCAACCTTTCAATTTTTCTCTAGATATTTAAATTTTTCAATTTTTCGACTGTTGAATTTCCCGATTTTTCGATTTTTTGACTTTTCAATTCGTATTTTTAGATTTGACCCATATTTTCTCAGAGAATATGTCATTTGCCAAAATTAGTCTTATCTTAGCAAGGACTAGCCCCGCCCACCCGCCCTTAATTTTCTTAGAGGATATGTCAACTGCCAAAATGAGTTTTCTCTAAGTACTAGCCCGGCCCACCCACCCTCTCTTTTCTTAGGGGCTACGTCATCTGCCAAAATCAGTCTTATTTTAGCAAATACTAGCATTTTGGTAAATCACATATCCTTTGAGAAAATAGGGAGCGGGTGGGCGGGGCTAGTACTTGCTAAGGTAAGACTGATTTTGCCTGTATTAATCTTGTAAAAACTTGTTAAATTTACAATGTGTTAAATTAGATCTTCCAATTTTTCAATGTTCAATTGTTCGATTTTCTAATTTTTCGACATTTCAGTGTTTCAGTGTTTCGATTCTTCAATTCTGCGATTTTTTGATTTCTCGATTTTCCAAATTTCTCAGTTTTTCAACATTTAGTTTTGGGAATTTTTCAATGTCTGGATTTTTCAATTCTTCGATATTTCGGCTTTTCAATTTTTCAATTCTTCGATTTTTAGTAATATTCTAACGTTCCAATTTTTCTCTCGATATTTAAATTTTTCAATTTTTTCGACTGTTCAATTTCTCGATTTTTCGATTTTTTGACTTTTCAATTCATATTTTTTAGATTTACGCCCTATTTTCTCAGAGGATATGTCATTTGCCAAAATTAGTCTTATCTTAGCAAGGACAAGCCCCGCCCACCCACCCTCAATTTTCTTAGAGAGTATGGCATCTGCCAAAATCAGTTTTATCTTAGCAAGTACTAACCCCGCTCACCCACCCTGTCTTTTCTTAGAGGCAATGTCATCTGCCAAAATCAGTCTTATCTTAGCAAATATTAGCATTTTGGTAAATTACATAATGCTCTGAGAAAATACGGGGCGGGTGGGCGGGCTTTATTTCTTGGTAAGATAAGACTGATTTTGGCAAATAACATATTCTCTGAGAAAATAGGGGGCGGGTGGGCGGGGCTAATACTTGCTTAGATAAGACTTATTTTAGCAAATAGCATACCCTCTGAGAAAATAGGGGGCTGGTGGGCGGGGCTAGTACTTGCTAAGATAAGGCTGATTTTGCCTCTATTAATCTTGTAAAAACTTGTTAAATTTAAAAAGTGTTAAGTTGCAAATTACCATGCTAACGAGTTAAATTCCTAAATCTGATAGGGTATTTTTTTTTCTTTCATTCTACATCAGGAACGAGGGAAGTTCTGTTGAAACAACTTTCGACCAATTTTTTGATTTTTCGATTTATCGATTTTTAAAATTTTAAATTTTCCAATTTTTCAATTTTTAATTTTTCGATGTTGTGATTTTCCGATTTGTAGAATTTTCAATTTTTCGGCTTTTCAGATTTGCTACTGATAGATTTTCCAATTTTTCAATGTTCAATTGTTCGATTTTCCAATTTTTCAAGATTTCAGTGTTTCAGTTTTTTGATTCTTCAATTCTGCGATTTATTGATTTCTCGTTTTTCCAAATTTCTCAGTTTTTCAACATTTAGTTTTGGGAATTTTTCAATGTCTGGACTTTTCAAGTCTTCGATTTTTAGTAATATTCCAACGTTCCAATTTTTCTCTCGATATTTAAATTTTTCAATTTTTCGGTTGTTCCATTTCCAGATTGTTCGATTTTTTGACTTTTCAATTCATATATTTTAGATTTGCCCCCCATTTTCTCAGAGGATACGTCAATTGCCGAAAATAGTCTTATCTTAGCAAGGACTAGCCCCGCCCACCCGCCCTCTCTTTTCTTAGAGGTTATGTCATCTGCCAAAATTAGTCTTATCTTAGCAAATGCTAGCATTTTGGTAAATCACATATCCTCTGAAAAAATAGGGGGTGGGTGGGCGGGGCTAGTACTTGCCAAGATAAGACTTATTTTGGCAAATAACATACCCTTTGAGAAAATAGGGGGCGGGTCTACATCAGGAGCGAGGGAAGTTCCGTTGAAACAACTTTCGACCAATTTTTTGAGTTTTCGATATATCGATTTTTGTAAATTTTAAATTTTCCAACTTTTCAATTTTTAATTTTTCGATGTTTTGATTTTCCGATTTCTAAAATTTTCAATTTTTCAGCTTTTCAGCTTTTCTAATGATAAATCTTCCACTTTTTCAATGTTCAATTGTTCGATATTCCAATTTTTCGAGATTTCAGTTTTTCGATTCAATTTTGCGATTTTTTTGATTTCTCGATTTTTCAAATTTCTCAATTTTTCAACATTTAGTTTTGGGAATTTTTCAATGTCTGGATTTTTCAATTCTTCGATATTTCGGCTTTTCAATTTTTCAATTCTTCGATTTTTAGTGATATTTCAACGTTCCAATTTTTCTCTCGATATTTAAATTTTTCAATTTTTCGACTGTTCAATTTCCCGATTTTTCGATTTTTTGACTTTTCAATTCATATTTTTTAGATTTACGCCCTATTTTCTCAGAGGATATGTCATTTGCCAAAATTAGTTTTATCTTAGCAAGGACAAGTCCCGCCCACCCACCCTCAATTTTCTTAGAGAGTATGGCATCTGCCAAAATCAGTTTTGTCTTAGCAAGTACTAACCCCGCCCACCCACCCTCTCTTTTCTTAGAAGCAATGTCATCTGCCACAATCAGTTTTATCTTAGCAAATATTAGCATTTTGGTAAATTACATATCCTCTGAGAAAATAGGGGGCGGGTGGGCGGGACTAATACTTGCTTAGTAAGACTTATTTTGGCAAATAGCATACCCTCTGAGAAAATACGGGGCTGGTGGGCGGGGCTAGTACTTGCTAAGATAAGGCTGATTTTGCCTCTATTAATCTTGAAAAACTTGTTAAATTTAAAAAATATGTCGGCTTTTCAATTTTTCAATTCTTCGATTTTTAGTGATATTTCAACGTTCCAATTTTTCTCTTGATATTTAAATTTTTCAATTTTTCGATTGTTCAATTTCCAGATTTTTCGATTTTTTCATATATTTTAGATTTGCCCCCTATTTTCTCAGAGGATATGTTATTTGCCAAAATTAGTCTTATCTTAGCAAGGACTAGCCCCGCCCACCCGCCCTCTCTTTTCTTAGAGGTTATGTCATCTGCCAAAATTAGTCTTATCTTAGCAAATGCTAGCATTTTGGTAAATCACATATCCTCTGAAAAAATAGGGGGTGGGTGGGCGGGGCTAGTACTTGCCAAGATAAGACTTATTTTGGCAAATAACATACCCTTTGAGAAAATAGGGGGCGGGTCTACATCAGGAGCGAGGGAAGTTCCGTTGAAACAACTTTCGACCAATTTTTTGAGTTTTCGATTTATCGATTTTTGTAAATTTTAAATTTTCCAACTTTTCAATTTTGAATTATTCGATGTTTTGATTTTCCGATTTCTAGGATTTTCAATTTTAAGCTTTTCAGCTTTTCTATTGATAGATCTTCCAATTTTTCAATGTTCAATTGTTCGATTTTCCAAATTTTCGAGATTTCAGTGTTTCAGTTTTTCGATTCTTCAATTTTGCGATTTTCTGATTTCTGGATTTTCCAAATTTTTCAATTTTTCAACATTTAGTTTTGGGAATTTTTCAATGTCTGGATTATTCAATTCTTCGATTTTTAGTAATATTCCAACGTTCCAATTTTTCTCTCGATATTTAAATTTTTCAATTTTTCGATTGTTCAATTTCCAGATTGTTCGATTTTTTGACTTTTCAATTCATATATTTTAGATTTGCCCCCCATTTTCTCAGAGGATACGTCAATTGCCGAAATTAGTCTTAACTTAGCAAGGACTAGCCCCGCCCACTCACCCTCTCTTTTCTTAGAGGTTATGTCATCTGCCAAAATCAGTCTTATCTTAGCAAATGCTAGCATTTTGGTAAATCACATATTCTCTGAAAAAATAGGAGGCGGGTGGGCGGGGCTAGTACTTGCCAAGATAATACTTATTTTGGCAAATAACATACCCTTTGAGAAAATAGGGAGCGGGTCTACATCACGAGCGAGGGAAGTTCTGTTGAAACAACTTTCGACCAATTTTTTGATTTTTCGATTTATCGATTTTTATAAATTTTAAATTTTCCACTTTTTCAATTTTTAATTTTTCGATGTTTTGATTTTCCGATTTCTAAAATTTTCAATTTTTCAGCTTTTCAGCTTTTCTAATGATAAATCTTCCACTTTTTCAATGTTCAATTGTTCGATATTCCAATTTTTCGAGATTTCAGTTTTTCGATTCAATTTTGCGATTTTTTTGGTTTCTCGATTTTTCAAATTTCTCAATTTTTCAACATTTAGTTTTGGGAATTTTTCAATGTCTGGATTTTTCAATTCTTCGATATTTCGGCTTTTCAATTTTTCAATTCTTCGATTTTTAGTGATATTTCAACGTTCCAATTTTTCTCTCGATATTTAAATTTTTCAATTTTTCGACTGTTCAATTTCCCGATTTTTCGATTTTTTGACTTTTCAATTCATATTTTTTAGATTTACGCCCTATTTTCTCAGAGGATATGTCATTTGCCAAAATTAGTTTTATCTTAGCAAGGACAAGTCCCGCCCACCCACCCTCAATTTTCTTAGAGAGTATGGCATCTGCCAAAATCAGTTTTGTCTTAGCAAGTACTAACCCCGCCCACCCACCCTCTCTTTTCTTAGAGGCAATGTCATCTGCCACAATCAGTTTTATCTTAGCAAATATTAGCATTTTATAAATTACATACCCTCTGAGAAAATACGGGGCGGGTGGGCGGGCTTTAGTACTTAGTAAGATAAGACTGATTTTGGCAAATAACATATTCTCTGAGAAAATATGGGGCGGGTGGGCGGGGCTAATACTTGCTAAGATAAGACTTATTTTGGCAAATAACATACCCCCTGAGAAAATGGGGGCGGGTGGGTGGGGCTAGTACTTGCTAAGATAAGACTAATTTTTCAATTCTTCGGCTTTTCAATTTTTCATTCTTCGACTTTTAGTAATATTCCAACGTGCAAATTTTTCTCTCGATATTTAAATTTTTCAATTTTTCGACTGTTCAATTTCCCGATTTTTGACATTTCAATTCACAGACTTTTTAAAATTTAAAATTTTCCTGTTCACAATATTTAATTTTTTGACTTTTGACAGTGATTTGTTTGCTTGAAATTACTCAACTTTTTATAAATAAATCTTGCGATAAACATGTCTGCATTGTTTTTAACATGTTTGACGTTTCTGACGTAGCTTCCTTGATGTTTTAGACGTTTATTTGTTCTTTTTGTAATACCAAGTTATTTTTTTATATAATTAATAAGCACAGTTAGTTAAATTGTTTTCACTCCTATTATTTTTGTATCAATGGAAATAATTGTTGTTTATATTATTGCAATCGCAATAGTAGAGAAAAACACGTTGAGCCACAACAGTGCCAGGGGCGTATCATCAGTGTTCTCAAATAGGGACATTCTAAAAAAAATGTGACAATCTGTTCAAAAGTTTTAGTATTCTTAAGTCAATTTAAACACACACAGGAACGTAAAACCCAAACTTTGACAAAGCTGTTATAAAACATTTAAAAGCACCCACATTTATTTACTTAACTCACTTTGATAAAGAACACCTTTTCGGCTCGTGACAAATTAAACCGTCGCGGTTTTGATATGATAAATAAACAGCGGAAACTCGAAAGGTTCACTAAAAATAAACTCGAAGCTTCTAGTTCCTGTGCACATACGTCAATCGCCAAAAATATTTTTCCGGAAACCCGTAGTAGACACAATTAGTCCAACGATAATTTTTAGTTAGCACCTGGGGCAATTCGAACTTTATTTTTCAGCCCAGATTCCCGGACTCAGTAAAATTGTGTACCTGCGACCAGTCCAAATAATGGAACGTTTTTAGAGCCCGGATGTACAGGACCGGGCCCTCGAAAGTGGCCACGGCGTTCGGAGTGCACGAGTGATCAATAACCGACGCTCCTAGGTACATTCCCGTGCCTAAACACTGCAACTCCTGGTCCATAATATTAAAGCTGTTAATACACATCTAGAAAAAAAAAGTTATAGGCTAGGTCTAGACTAAAATCAGGGCCAAGTGACCCCAACCTCGAACTTTTTTTGTTTCATTAATTTATGTCCACATTATTATTAGCGCCATGTAAATAGAAGTATTTTTAAGTTTGTGGATTATATAACACACAAGGTGTTTGTGGTGAGTGTGTAAAATGAAAACAAGCCTACCCTTCCATACATGCCCATCAACTCAGCCGAATTTGGAAGAATATCATCGCCCAAAAACTCAAATAAAACAGCGCACAAAGACGTGAAATGCTCCATTCTGGGTTTATCGCCTTTGATATTTGGATAGTCTTAAAAAAGCAATTTTGCAAAAACCACCACAATCAGAAAAAAATACTCACGCGACATCAAGTCCTTGTACATCCTGAAACAATTCTCCAGGTAGTAGCTCTTCACCAGATCGCCTCCTTTACGCAGAATCTGGATCAACCTGGCTAGAAGCCTCGCCGCGTCTGGAAGCACCCTTGGAGACACCCGCTTCAGGTTTCTACACTCAAATCTATGCACACTCCAGCCGTCCTTCTGGCAGATCTTTCCACAGTAGTGCACGTAGTGGCAGCCCGAGCACTTCATGAACTGCCCCCTTAAACGTGGTTCTTTTTCAGTTCGAGTAAAGAAAAAACATCAACAAAGTTAAATCATACGGGTGTCCAGGAGTGAAACTCACTTTTTGAGGCAGTAGTCGCAGCGCTCGGTCCTCAGCCTCGAGCTGAGGACGTACACGAACGGCTTTTCCTTGTGGATGGTGCATCCCTCGTGGACGAGTTTTTTCGTTCGCATGTCTGGCTCTGGAACGAGGATCAACAACGAATGCATATGACATAGAACGAGGCGTATTTATAAACCACAGGCTGAGTATTTACGGAGCGTACAGGTAAAAATATCTCGTGGTCTTTGAAAGCCGGAACGTAAGTACGGACATCACGAGGGCGGTAATTTGGAGTCGGAAGCGTCTGGTGTTGCGAGCACGTGGTCTTCTTCAATTATTTTGACTAATGACAATAATAATAATAATAGTGTGAATTATGGATGAAATAGTTTGAGATCGTCGGCGTACGCGAGTCCCTTGCGAGTAAAACCAATTAGTAGATCATTAATGAAACGATTAAATAGTAATGCACTTAAATCGAGTCCCTGAGAAATTCCAAATATAGAGAACTTGACTTTTTACTTCCCGAGCGTAAGCAAAGGAAGTATTGTAATCGAGTCCGTCGGCCGACTCTCTACTTTTACATTTTCTCGATCTTTCATGACCCCTAGAAGACGAAGAAATAGGTCTCCCATTTCCGTCTGTCTGTCCGTCTGTCCGTCCGTCTGTCCGTTCGTCTGTCTGTCCGTCTGCCGTCCCGGATTTTTATTAGACAGATAATCTCCGAAAGTACTCGGCCGATTGTTGTGAAATTTTGTACTTATATTAAGAATATCATGTAGATGGTAAAACGCTAACCAAAATTTGTCTAATCATCCCCACCACTAATGCGATGACGTCACTTCAAAATTGTACATGGTAAATGGGTTTTCAATTGTATAAAATAACATAGTCCTACACATGTAGTTTACAACTCTGAATCGACTTTTCACCCGAAACGTCCAGATTTTTGGAAAAAAAATCAAAATTATAAAACAACATTTTGAAATTTAATTTTAAATCTGCTAACCAGAATGCTTTGAAATGTTGCAGATGTTTTAAGGCTATAAAGAGCATCATACACCTTTAGTCAAAAAATATTTGCTTATCCCCTCCAAAAACTTGATGACGTCAGCTCAAAAGTTTGTGGAATAAATCATATCTAAAATGTACAAAATATGATGAGTCTGTACTTGTGATCTATCACTCCATTCATATTTTTTGGATTTGCATATACAGGGTGACTCAAAAAAATTAATGAATGCGTAAATATATTTTATTGATTTAATCAGGAACTACAAAACCGAATGCTCTGAAATCCTGCAGATGTTTTAAGGTCATAAAGAGCATAATAAATGTTTAGTCAAAATATATTTGCTTATCCCCTCCAAAAACTTGATGACGTCAGCTCGAAAGTTTGCCGAATAAATCATATCTAAAATGTACAAAATATGATGAGCCTGTACTTGTCATTTATCACTCCATTCATATTTTTTGGATTTGCATATAAAGAGTGACTCAAAAAAATTAATGAATGCGTAAATATATTTTATTGATTTAATCAGCAACTACAAAACGGAATGCTCTGACATCTTGCAGATGTTTTAAGGTTATAAAGAGCATAATAAATGTTTAGTCAAAATATATTTGCTTATCCCCTCCAAAAGCTTGATGACGTCAGCTCGAAAATTTGCCGAATAAATCATATCTAAAATGTACAAAATATGATCAGTCTGTACTTGTGATCTATCACTCCATTCATATTTTTTGGATTTGCATATACAGGGTGATTCAAGAAAATAAATGAAAGCGTAAATTTATTTTACTGATTTACTCAGGAACTACAAAACCGAATGCTTCGAAATCTTGAAGATATTTTAAAATTATCATAAGCATGGTAAATTTTTGATCAAAACGTATTTGGTCGTCCCCCCTAAAAAATTTATGATGTCACCACAAAATTTTGCTGAAAAAATCCTACCTAAAATGTACAAAATATGGTGAGTCTCTTCTTGTGATTTATCATTCCATTCAAATTTTTTCGATTTGCATATACAGGGTAACTCAAAAAAAATAATGAATGCGTAAATTTATTTTATTTTGATTTAATCAGGAACTACAAAACCGAATGCTTTGAAATCTTGCAGATGTTTTAAGGTTATAAAGACCATAATAAATTTTTAGTCAAAATACATTTGGTTATCTTCTACAAAAAACTGATGACGTCAGCTCAAAAGTTTGCCGAATAAATCGTATCTAAAATGTACAAAATATGATGAGTCTGTACTTGTGATTTATCATTCCATTCATATTTTTGGATTTGCATATGCAGGGTGACTCAAAAAAATTAATGAAGGCGTGAATTTATTTTATCGATTTAATCAGGAATTACAAAACCGAATGCTTTGAAATCTTGGGAATATTTTAAAGTTATTATAAGCATGGTAAACTTTTGTTCAAAATGTATTTGTTCATCCCTCCTAAAAAAATTGATGACGTCACCCTTAAATTTTGCTGAATAAATCCTATCTAAAATGCAAAAAATATGATGAGTTTGTACTTGTGATTTATCATTCCATTTATATTTTTTAGATTTTCTTAAGAGGTGGTTCAAAAAAATTAATGAAGTCAATTTATTTTATTGATTAAATTAAAGGCAACACTTATTATTAGTATTACACCCCAACCAACCCAATTTGGTAGACACAAAATTTGTTAAAGGAAAAACTCGGTTGAAACATAAGGGTAGCACGCTTATTTACATCGACTTTAACATTACAGACCTGCATTTGTTTTATGCGCTCACTTGGTTCCGCGAATGTGAAATAGACATGTTTATAATCAACCAATTGTGAATTTCACCGTCAAGAATTAAAATAAAACCCAATGTTTTATATAATAAGCGGAAGTCGAAGCAATAAAACCGATGGTCGTTTTGTTTACAGTTTCTCTGTTTGACTCTCACGTATGCTGTTACGCCTGTCATCTTAAATTAAGAATGTTTATACATACACGATTTTCAGTTGCCTCTGATACGTATACGTGAGTAAATTGTTTCGTTATTTTATTGATTATTACAAATCAATATTCAAAACGACCCAATTCATTTTGCCGAAAATTTGAGAATATAATAATTTTATTCTTAGTATTACACTACATCTATCCCAACTGATATACGTGTCCTTGCAAAAATGTTGATGACGTCATCGCAATTTTTTTTTAAATTCCCACTACAAAAATGTAATGAGAAAAAAAAACACAATAGGCATGCAGTCGTCAAGTTTCCGACAGCGAGGGAAGTACTGTCTAAACTCTTTAGACCAATTTTTCCTCATCACCGTGACTATGGTTTCACAAAAATATAAACGTCAGTTTTGACAAAAAATTGACATGAGTGAGTTGTCGTGACGGCCCTGCCCTGACGATAAAAAATCTGTAAAGGATTTGCATGGAATTTTTCTGGTTTTTGCGTCATTAACATTCACATTTTTAGGCACGTGTGATTCAAAATTTATCAGCAAGATTTATTTTTCCAGGATACTTTTAGCAATTTGAAGATCTAAAAAGTCCGAGTTTTGGAATGTACGGTAAATTCTGTGTAAAATATAACCTTTCGCCTGAGACCATTTTTGGTAATTCCAGATACTAACGGGAGGTTCATTTTTCCGTTATTTAATGAACTGTGGAAAAAGCCGTCTAAACCTAGGACTTACGACAAATTTGGTAGACGATCCAGATCAGCTGGAGGTTTGGGGTCGGCGAAAGAATTAACGTAAGATGGCGACTGTTTTAGCGGGATTGAACTATTTTTTAATATTTTTTTCATATTATTGTTTGATGAATTGAATGAAAACGGTCCAAATTTCAAATTTTGGGAAAATTCTGTGTACGAAAAATACCGAGTGACTATTAATGCTTGTGATTTTTTGTTAGGTTGGCAACATATTTTAAACTTTATGACTGTGCGCTCATTCACAATTACTGCCAATAATGTAGAATTGCCAACCTAAAATTTTGGTTCAATCGTTAATAGTCACCTGGTAAATTTTTTCATGATTGTCCACATTTTAAAATCTTTCAAGAAAATTATTTTTTTCCAATCTTGTTGAACAATTAGGATATCGAAAAATTGGAAAATCGATATCTAAAAAACCAAAAGTTGAAAAATTTGAAAAATCGAGAAATCCAGAAAATCGAAATATCGAAAAATTGAAACATAGAAAAATTGGAGGGTATCAATTTGAAAAAAATCGATAAATCGGAAAATCAAAAAATTTAAAAATCGAGAAATCGGGAAACTAAACTAACGAAATCTCGATAAATCCAGAAATCGAAAAATTAAAAAGCCGAAAAATTGGAAAATCGAAAATCAGATACATATTTTAAAAATGAAAAAATTGAAAAACCAAAAAATCCAAAGACCGAGAAATCGGAAAATCTAGCATTTTAAAAATCGAAAAATTGATGTACGAAAAACTGAAAAATCGGGAAATCCAAACATCAAAAAATCGAATGGAAAAATTGAAAAACCAAAAAAGAACAAATCAAGAAATCGAAAAATCGGGAAATTGAAAAATCTAAAAGTTAAATAGTCAAAAACGCGAGACACCGAAAAATGGATTAATCAAGAAATCGAAAATTTGGGAACGCCAAAAATTGAAAATTAAAACTGAGATAACAGAAAATTGCAAAGATAAAAGAAAATTAAGAAATTTTAAAAATCGAAAAGTTGAAAAATCAAGAACCTGAAAAATTGAAGAATTGAAAAAGTGAAAAATCTAGACGTCGAGTAATCGAAACATTGAAAAGTCGACAATTAGAAAAATGGGAAAATCAAAAAATCGAAAAATTGAAAAATTTGAAAGTGGAAAAGTCAAAAAAGAGAGAAACTGAAAAATAGATTAATCGAGAAATCGAAAATTTAGAAACGCCAAAAATTGAAAAATTGAAAATCAAAAATCTGAAATATCGGAAAATTGAGAAATCGAAAAATAAACAATAGAGACATAATTTTTTTTTTTAAATCGAGAAATTGAAAAATCAAATAACTGAGAACTCGGAAATACCAAAGTTTCAAAAACCGAAAAATTTGGTTTTTTCTCGGTTATTTGAAGAGATACGTCAAAAGCGAATACGGAATCGTAATCCTGAGGAAATTCC